AAGAAAATGATAAACATAACACGAAAAAGGATAGACATGATACAAGAAAATACAAGGGTATGTGAAATTTGTTACATAAACTTTGGGAGATCAATTCATATCAGTTATGCGTCTCTTACCAAATTCTAATTCTCTGAGTTCAAGTAAATATAAAACAGAATTTTTATAGGTTAATCGAGATTCATCAAATCCAATAGGTCTTCGATGTTTAACTGCAGGATCAGTGATAATTTTTTCATCTTTTAAAGCTCTCTTTACAGCTTCATTGGAAGACATATGAATTAATCGGGTAGGAGTATTATTATAAATATCATCATTTAAACGAAGACCTTTAACTCATGATCAGCACCTTTCAGATAAAAATAAAAGAAAATTCACAGCATCTTGACAAATATAAGCATGTTTCTCAAATTCTTGATGATCACATTTAGCTATTGATGTGCTACATTTAGATTTAGCTTGTATAATTTTTACACTATGACAAATTAATAAATCCCTACACTCACCTAAGTATTCAGTATCTTTATCCACAATTAAAACTTTTGATCATGTAAGATGATTACTAGAGTCCCCATAAATTGCTTTAAACATTTTAGCTAATGATACAGAAGACTTATTAGTTAAAGCACAACTTTTACGAAATCTAGTGGCAACATCTTTTATAACATCCCTATGTTTGAAAATTTGATTACTGATTTTATCGTGAGAAAGAGGTGTAAGATCTGACTTATATACTTCATTTAAATCTTGTATCCCATTAAAAGAAGCATATTAAATAAATTTAGACCTGAGTTTATGAGCTAAAAAAGTAATCTGTATTTAACCAGTTTTTAATATCTGCTAACGAAAAATTATAACCAGCTTTTCTGCAAGTATTTCTCATTTTTTCAACAGTTCGATAATACTCTTCAGATTTGTAATATAATTTCTGTAAATTAATTTCTCTATCTAAAACACGGGCCCTCTGAGGGTCAATAGAAATTACAGGTTCTCCCATTACTTTAATTTATTATAAATAACAAAAATTCATCATGGATAAATTAATACAGGCAAATCAGGAACTTTATGATGAGGTCGAAAGATTAGCTCAATTAAATAGGGATTATGAGTGTCAAACATATAATCTCGAACAAGATATAGTCTTGCGTGAAGAAAGAATTCGGTATCTTGAGGAAGAGTTAGCAAATACAATCAAACTTTCTATACAAGAAAGAGCGAAGCTGAAAGAAGAGATTAGAGATTTAAAAAAGATTGTTTACAAGTTTAAAAAAGAAATCGAGCAAAAAGACAAGGAACTTATTGCTAGAGAAAACCAACTAGCAGAATTTGATGTAAGAGAAAAAAAAGTTGAAAATCTGAATTCGTGAAATATTCAAATCAGCTGGAAATACACCTAGAACATATAACCAAACAGAAAAATTAATAAATGAGAATGAACATCTCAAACATGAGATCAATACTTTAAAATATAATCTTACAGATAGAAATAATAAAATAGCTCAGCAAAAAAGACGTATTACAGATTTACATTATCAAAACTTTGTATTGTTATCGTTTTGATGGAGCTTTCGAAATACTCAAAGGTATTTATAAAATTTAAGGAATATTCAAAGGGAAACTTCCAATATCTT